AGAGTTAAGGCTGTTCATCCTGGAGAAGAGAAGACCCCAGAGAGAGCTTAAAGCATGTTCCAGTACCTAAAGGGGCCCTACAAGATTGCTTGAGAGGGACTTTTCACAAGGGCATGTTGTGATAGGACAAGGGGGAATGGAATCCCTGGCAGTGTTCCAGCCCAGGTTGGATGGGGCTTTAAGAAACCGGGTCTAGTGGAAGGTGTCCCTGCCTGTGGCAGGGGGCTTTGAATGAAATGATCTCTAAGATCCCTTCCCACCCAAACCATTCTATGATTCTATGATATGTGTGCACTTATAGAGTTGCATTTGTCAAAGCCTTCAACACAACTCTGCAACAAAGGTTTCTTAAGTACCTAAGTTGCCAGAGAGCTGGAAGGCACGTTCTTTTGTGGGCTGAAAGCTGAATGAAGTGTAGGAAGCAAAGTGGGCACTCAATAAATAAGCAATGGAGTCCTCTAGGGTTTGGCACTCGAACTAGATTTATCCAGTGTCTCTATCAACAGTCTGGACATGACAGCTCTCCATGCTGGCAGATGCCATGCTGGAAGGGGGGCAGATGAGAATTAGTATATTTTAATGTAAGGTGATGCATGTTGGGAAAAATAATCTAAATTGTGCCTATTTACATGAACTTTAAACTGGAAAGGGCACTTGGCACTGGCATCATTGACCATTTGCTGAAGTCAGTTCTGCATTGGCTACAACAGCAGAAGAACTAAAATTGTCAGCAAAATGAAGGGCACCATCAAGTAGGGTATCAAATCTTTTATAAAATCTTGATGCATTCCCATAGTGGATAGTTCTTGTCTCCACACTAAAACCAGAGATTATGGAGCTTGAGAATGTGCAGAGAAAGGCAAGTAAAGTAGTCAGCAGCCCTGGGCTACCCCTGTTCTTACACAGGACGGTCAATCAAGTGATATGGCATCCCAGCAGAGAATGGGATGGATTTCTGTGCCATGTCTGGACAGAAGGACAGAGACCTCTTGAAGATGTGTGGTGGAGGGGTACTGCTGCTGAAGGGCTAAATATGAAACCTCCACTCTTCCCTTTGCTGTACCTTAGGATGTAATGTTTTCCTGAAAAACAGGGGGATCATATTCATTTTGGAGAAAAGCTGAATTTGATCTCGTACAGAAAATGTGTATATCAGACAGTTGTTCCATAAAGAAAACCAAAACAATTAAAAGTCCTTTGATTGCTGAAGATTTGTCTTTAAGAAGAATATCTTTTCCTTCTCCTTTGAGAAGAAACAGGATCCCAAAGGAGGAGGAGATTAACTTTAGGAGCATGTGTTTAGTCAGTCCAGTGCTTTGCTGAGACCCAATATCCATGAAGTGCTCCTTGGGAGGCCAGCCTGGGGTTGTGCTTCCCATGCTTCCCATCCCAGTAGGGCTGGATGAAAAGATGCCTGCTGGGGCACGTCTGGTTGCTATATTTAAGGGACTCGGACAGACTCTGAGACACAACCCTGGAGATACCATGGCCTGCTCTGAACATAGCTCAGGCTCCCACACCATGGCTTCAGTTTGCAAATTAGCTCCCATTCGCAGCACACTGGGTAGCTGGGTGTTCGAAGTAAATGTAAAGCCAAATTTACCCCCAAGGAGGCTCCACCTGTACAAATAAATTAGTTTCAAATTGTGAAGCCAGTGAGGTTCAGAATAAGAGGTAGGATGCTGTCATGTACCATGGGCGCATTATCACTCACACTGGGGCAAATTAAAATCTTCTTTTCCATGCATCTGGAAATGCCATGTAGTTGTGATTTTCAGACTAAAAATTTCCATGTCCCATCTTTAGAATATATTGGCAGATACAAAGAGGGAATTGCTCCCACTGTCAAACAAGAAACAATACTGACACCTTCCTTTGAAAATACTAGTAGCTGCAGGACAGCTGAGATAAGAAATCAAGAGTTCAGAAAATAAATAGACACTAATGAGAAAAAAAATATTATTTAGAGTGTTTTAGTGGTGAGTGGTTTTGATTTGATTGAATCACAAGAGGAGAAATGTCTCTCTCTGTGAGCACAACCCATTTTCTCAGAGGCCATTTTCATTAGGGCTGCAAATGTGGGCTGCCCTGGAAGCTGCAGTGTGTGTGGATGACTGACTGGTGCAGAACAGCTGAGCACAAAAGAGGTTAAGAGCGTGGTACATGGAGCAAAGGCCCCACAAAAAGAGACATAGAAAGCCACCAGAAGCTAACAAGAAAGTAGAAATACAGTGCGAGGAGGGAGTTAAAAAATGAACTGTGCATAATCAGCGCAGTGTTTGCACAGTGTTTAAGGTCAAAATGTCCTTAATTTTTACATGTATCAAAATATGCCTCGTATCGCTCAGGAAATACTGCCAAAAACTTCCCTGGTTCCAAAAAAATTTCCCTGGTTCCAAAAGGCAGATTCAGTTCTTTTGGTTTCCATCCTAATTTGAAATGCAGGCCTAGCAGTGGACAGTGATTTCTTTTCTGATCAGGTTTTGATGTTTCCATGGTAGGTGACTGGGGACTCAAAACTTCCCTGCCACAAAATGGCTGACAGCAAGTTGGCTTGTTTTGCACAGCAAAGATCAGAGACTTGTCATTAAAACACACACACAGCACCTCTAAAAGGCAGCACTTTTACAGGCTGAGAACACAACCAGCTGCTGTAGCACTGAAACTCATTAGAGCTTACTCGGGGCTTTGCGTCTTGAGATGTGTATTTACTGGGACATGACAAGTAATTACTTGTTAACAAACCCTTACTTCCCACTGTCATCTGCATCTTGCAATTTCTGCCCTCAGTGAAACAGTCCCAAATAGCCAAACTCCCTGCCCAGCCTGTAACCCAGCACTCACACCAATTCTTTTCCCTTTGGCAGGAAAATGGAGATGCTGGCTCAGACTATGAATATTTCCAAGGTGGCACTAAATGGCAGCTTCACTGACAGCTCCTCCAACTGTTCAATTGATGGCTTCAAACAAGTAATTTATCCCATCACGTATCTCTTTATCTTCTTCCCCGGTGCTGTTGGAAACAGCCTCTCCATTTATGTTTTCTTCCAGACTTCACAAAGGACCTCGATAAACATTTACATGCAGAGCTTGGCTATTTCAGACCTCATGTTTGTGAGCACTTTGCCCTTTCGGGCCTCATATTTCCTCTTGGGATCACATTGGATATTTGGTGACATCCTCTGCAGGATCATGACTTACACCTTGTACATGAATATGTACTGCAGCATTTATTTCCTCACCATGCTCAGCGTGGTTCGTTTCATAGCCATCGTCCACCCGTTCAAACACGGAAAAGTGACCAACACGAAGTGTGCCAGGATCACCTGTGTGGCCATATGGATTTTCGTGCTGGCAGCTGCCAGCCCTCTGTTAAACAAGGGAGTCGCTGGCTACAGAAACCCAGACAAATGCTTGGACCTCCACCCCTCCAGCACGCACAGGCTCCTCATGATGAACAGCTTTGTCCTCATCGTGGGCTTCATTCTGCCGTTCTGCACCATTTTGTTCTGCTATGTCTTTGCCATCAGAGTGCTGCTCAAGTCCAGTTCTGTGCAGAGCAGGAGGGCAATCAGTCACAGGAAGGCGCTGTTAACCATTGTCATCACTCTCATCCTCTCCCTCATCTGTTTCCTGCCGTATCACATCCTGCGAACTGTCCACCTGATGTACAGCAGCTGCAGCCAGGCCAGCCTGCACAAGGCGCTGGTGGTCACTCTCTGCCTCGCTGCCACGAACAGCTGCCTCGATCCCTTCCTCTATTACTTTGCCGCTGAAAATTTCAAAGCAAAAATCAGAAGTTTGTGCTGTTGGTAGCTGGTGCAGAATTGCAAATATATATATATATATATATATATACAGTCCTGATGGGATCTCTAGACTGGGCTCATACTGCTCAGTGACAGAGGCTGTGTGCTGTGCTGCTGGCCAGCCTGCAGCTCTACTGCTCACTGTTAAGCCTCTCGAGCAGAAGTATCTGGGACAGAGCTCTTTGTGGGTGACCAAAACTGTCTGGATGATCTGAGGACAGGTGGCTGGGTATGATCCCTGGCTGTCTTCTGTTTAGCAGGGGTACCTCTGCTGTTCACCCTCCCCAGGACAAGGTATTGAAATGAATCCACCTTGCTACTGGAGTCCCTTTATTTCATTTCACAATACTGAGTGACTTGAAAGGGAAACTGCTCACCTGACCACTTCAGTGTCTGTGCCTGAACCTCTCAGTGCTCCATTTCCCTGCATGTGCAGGGGTTCAGACACTGTGATTCCTTACACATTCACAGTACCCTGCCAGTTACCATTGCAAACACTGTCAAAGGGGTTGCACATTAAAGAAATATAAAGCACCATTTATGCTTTCTACTGAGGCTGACTTAAAAAGCGGGAAGAGAGGCCAACAGGACCCAGCACTGGCTCAGGCTGCCCAGAAGTCACTAACATTTCTAAATTTTCCACTCTGAGCCAGCCACCAAGGTATTCTGCTTAACAATTCATGGGTTGTCAAGTGAGAGAATGATTTCAAGCAAGTGGCATCGCCCTGGAGTGTTGTGAGTAAGATGACTGCTGGCAGTGAGGGCAGGATGCGAGTGCCCAGAGCACTGGGCTGCATCCTGCAGCTCTTCATGCGGTGTCAATTCCTTCAAGGTCATTGCAACACTTCTTTTTATGCCCAGTGTTGCCAGTGCTTTTCACAAAGCTGAGGCTAAGCAGTTCCATTCCCATGCAGGGATCCAAAGACAAACTTTTAAAATTATTTTGGTCCAAAAAGATTGCTAGGTAAATCAATTTCTCTGCACAGGTAAATCAGTCTGACACCAAACAGCTGCCAAAGGCATTCCCAATCACTCATTTTCAGACTCCTCTGAGGAGGAAACTGATCCCTTTTTTCATAGGATTAACTTCCTGTTGGTTTGAATTTCCTACATCAAACATGAAAGAATGCAACAGGGAAGCACTAACCCAGGTACAGGAAGAAAGATGAGCAACAGAGAAGGTGGAGGAGAGCTTTTTTAGGAAACAATGGGAATCTACTCCTGTGTGTACTTTGGAAAATTTCATCAAATGGCTGTCTGCATTTGTAAGTCTCCGAATATTTTCTAAAATATGTTTTCTAAAAATTAGACCTAAGTGAAAACAGGCTCCAAACTCAGTTAGACCATATTTAGATTTTAGGTTTAATTACCTCATCTTTTACTAAAAACAGACAAGAAGTTTAGTCATATTTTCCAAGAAAGCAGCTGGGCTTATATGAAAACTAACAGAAATGCTGAAAACTTTCCCTCACTGTGAAATTCAACCAAAGGAAGATTTCTCTCTGTGAAGATACTTCTCAATGCTCTGAACTTTTTATGGAGAAAGAACTCCATAAAGTGAATGTTATTGCTCCCAAACAAAAATAACAGCAGCAAGCTATTTTTAACTCTGTCTGAAACATGCAGAAAACAAATAATTGCTGGTCAGGTGGAAAAGTACTTGGCAAGTCACTGGAAAAGACATATTTTTTCTTGGCTATCTAAGGGTTATGTTCAATCTGTTGCAGTCATTTGATGCTGCCTTTGATGTAAGCACAGAGTTTTATCAGAAGTCTTCACTAAAGTTCATTCTCCAAATCCTTATTTCAATAGCGCAGCAGCATACCGGAGAGCTGACCTAATGATGCCACGTGAACTCCTTGATCCCCTGCTGTTGATGAAAAAGGTAATATTAGCAGTGGTTTGCAATGGGAATTTGATTGAGATGGTAATCATGCAGATATAGCAGGCACACAATTGGAAGGAAGGGGCAAACTCTTTTTCTGTGGTTTTCACCCTTCAGGAGGAAACCTGAACAGCAACAAGTGACAAGCTTGAAGCTTCTCATGAGACACCACCTATTTCAAATAATGCAAGAGAATGCAAAAAATTAGCCACAGTCTAATCTCACCAGCATTCTTCTGTCTGTATCTGTCCAGTGCACGCGATTTTCAGATAATTTTGCATTTAGAGGATATATGTATCTCACTTATAAGGTCACTTTTTTTTGTATTGATCACGCTACCACTTTGTTGGCAATTGAATTAACTGTCAGAACTGTGTTTTAATAAACTAGATTTACCTGTGGCTGAAGAAATGTTTTTTATTGATCGCACAGCTAACAAGGGATCTCCTCTGAATGCAGGGGAGAAGGAACAAGAAACAGATACTGAGTTTCTGTAAGTGGGCCATCATTTCACAGGACTGAAATGTCCTTGGATGTCTGAGAACATCCTGCTGCCTTATTCACATTGGCAACAAAATAGCGGGGAACATGAGTCAAAATCGGAGGTGCAGATAAAGTAATAGAATTTTTAAATTATGATTTAGTTACAAAAGGATTCTAGACCATCCTTGTTAAGGATTTTCTCATGAAGCTTCAATAACACTTGTATAACATGCCACATTCCCATTTACTGCCTTTTCTCCATTTATTGCTCTTGCATGTCTCTACTCATGGAGTTGAAGGTTCAGGTTCTTCACTGTGGAAGTATCATAGTAAAAAATGTAGTTAAAAAAGCACCAACATATCTATTCTAAAACATAAAGCTCCTGACAGTTAAATTGCTTGCAATGCCTCTAGATCCCTCAAGGGACCACATTCCCCTTAAAAAGTACTTTGATATGTTTCCTCAGATTTCTAGGAGGCAAAATCTAAGAATAGCTGTGTGCATAGAAAGTTAAAGCAACAGTAAACTTGTGAGCTTGAAGGAGATATAAGAAGAGGAAATGAAGTCTTTAAGTGACTGGGACCCTTACGCAGCAGCAAATGATCTACCTTCATATGCACATTTTTCCTGTCATTCAGGGAACCCCTGGTACTTCTAGACAAAGTTAATTTTTCAGTTCAAAGCTGTGCTAGGGTCATAGAGAGGCAGCAGAAGGAAATGCCACTCTTCACATCAGCTTTTAAGCCCCAGTTTGAGACCAGGTGTGGCTGTGACTGCCCGATGGTGTCACAGAGAGCAGGGGAGCATCTCATGACTGTGATCCTCCCCTTCAACTCGGCTCTCATGAGAACCCACCAAGAGAGCTCTGTCCAGCTCTGGGGCCTCCAACATGAGAAAGACTTGGACCTGTTTGAGCGAGTCCAGAGAAGGGCCATGAAGATGGTCAGAGGGCTGGAGCACCTCTCCATGAAGACAGGCTGAGGGAGTTGGGAATATTCCAGTCTGGACAAAAAAAGGCTCCAGGGAGATCTTATAGCACCTTCGAGTACCTTAAGGTGGCTACAGAAGAGCTGGAAAGGGACTTTTGACAATGTAGTGATAGCACAAGGAGAAAAGGCTTGAAACTGAAAGAGGGCAGGTTTAGACTAGAAACTAAGAAGAAATTCTATGCTATGAGGATGTTGAGGCACTGGAACATGTTGCCCAAAGAAGATGTGTACACTCCACCCTTGCAAATGTTCAAGGCCAGGCTGGATGGGGCTTTGAGCACACTGGTCTAATGAAATGTATCCCTGACCACAGTAGGGAAATTGAAACTAGATGATCTCTAAGGTCCCAAACCATTCTATCATTCTATGATTTTATTATTTTTATTTTAATCAATGCATTATCTGACTAATTTTCATGATACATCCTCTGCCTTTCTCAACATACATCGTGTCACCATAGCTTATATTTTGCTTTGGCTCCTAAGTGTGCTGGGAGAAAGGGGTGCAGATTTTGCTGATCAGCACCTCCTTTCTGAGGTGCGTATTCCTTTATGCTACAACGGCAGGCTGTGCTGGCAGCAGAGCAGGCAGCAGACTTGTCCTCCATCTTAGAGGCATTGACACTTCTCTTGGTCACTTGGGATGGTCAGGATAGAAACCTCCCTCTGCTGATAGGAGTGGAAATAAGATCTAGCCAAAACAACCAAGTAATCACAGTCAAGAGGACTCAGATGCTGTTTCAACAGTGAATCATCCCTGGGCTAGTGTTTTGAATTCTTGCATTATATCTGAGGCAGTTTAAATGATGGCCTATTTAAAAGACAGTGTAAATGATGTGCAAGCACAGACTTCCTGAGAGAGTCCAGTATTGTTTGATATGCTTCAGCTTCCTGGCCAGCACTGAGCATGACCTGCCAGGCACTGTGACTGTCCCAACATGCTGTGCAGTCCTGTCCCTCCCACATGTTGTGCTGCGTATATACAGGAACCTTCCTGGACATCTGCAAAGACAAGCAGTATATTTAATTGCATTCAGCTGATGTTATGTAGCTACGTCTGTTCATCCACCAGTCAACAGTTTAAGGAGGCCAAAGAAGTTAAGTAACTTTCTTTGTCCCAATTTCCTTTTCTTCCTTTCAGAAAACCTGGCCAGAATTCCACCACTGCTTCTCCTTTTGCAGCTGAAAGGATGAAGCTGCCTAACACAGGGACCTGGTCACACAAGTCACATTCCTGTTCACAGGAGCAAAATGTGAGCTTTTACTTCTGAAGCTGAGAAATAAAGCTCTGGACCTTACTCCACCTCTCACATTGCATCACTCAAAGCTTGAATGCTCAGAGTGGTGGCTGGCAGGTTTGCTTGTCATGTTTGCTCCTTGCATTTCCAGATGCTGAGATGCTGAGCATGTTAACTGCTGGATGATAGCATGTCTTCTGAGCAGCCATGGGAGATGCAACTGGGGATGATACACTCAGCATGGAGCTGTGTTTCATTACAGAAATTTTGGCAAATGAGCCCCTGAGGGAAGGGATCTTTGTTCTTTGCAGATTTTTCTTACATTATAACCAGCTTTCAGTTCTGGAGGCAAAGAGCCTGACTGTCTCTGGCAGGCCAGCTCCAGGACCCTTCTGATATCCAGCCCAAAAAGCCCTCCATAACAGATAAATACCTTCTTGTGTTTAGTTTCTTCTTGTAAATAGTCTGCCAACAGAGTTTCAGGATATTTAAGGATGTTTTGCTCATTGGTAAGATACTCCTTACATGCCGTAAGTTAGCTTTTTGTTGGCAACTGCGAGGACAAATAATCCAGAAGGAATGAGAAAAATGATCCAGTTCAAGAGCCAGCCGTCATACTTCTTCTGATCTTTATTACTGCAGCTGGAGCAATCTCTTCTGGTGGTCCCTCACCATTAAACATGAAAGTATAACTGCAGATAATGAATGAGACTATCCTCTTAAAAACAGTGCTTTCAGACAGGCTTCTTTTTTTTTTCTTTTTTTAACTTCGAATCTCACCCACCTAACCACTAAACACATTAAAGCTTGTAGAATTTCCCTGGTAAAGGTGCTATCAGCAGCACAGGCACACCTGGGTCCTCCAGAAGCGGAGGTGGTGTGTGGAGTACGTGGCTCAGAGCTGCTACCCAGCCTTTCCCAGGCACACAGTCACTGGGGCAGCCTGTGGAGTTGGGCAGCAGGATGCCCCATGGCCAGCCAGGTTTGTGGACCTTCCTATGGCCTAGGAGCTTTCCAGATACACCTGACTCCACACCAGCGTAAGCCCAGCCCTTCCCACACCTGTTGCCATGGTCCTGGTTGCCATGGAAAGGAAAACCAGGTGCAGAGACTAGATGGGAAGGACATGCTCCACCAGATCACCAGCAGGAGTGACACACCCAATTGATGTGTCTGGCCTTGCCACCTCCACTGACTTGTACAATTCCGGATTGGTGCTTCCCAGTTCCTTTCCCTTCAAATTCCTAACGGCATCTAGTGACACCTGAGCTAGCTGGGCTATGTAGGTGAAGTTTGCCCTGGTGGGCACCAGTGGATGGGCACATGGAGTGGATAGGCACATGGCCCAGTTGGGAATGGCATAGGAGAACATGCTTCCCCATTCTCAGAGGAATGGGACGTTCAAGCCAATGCCCAAAGACAAAGGAGTTAATGTCCACCTGCAGAACTATCTCTCATTGTGACATTTACTGTCAGAGCCATCACAGAGCAGCTAGAAGCCCATGCTTTCACAGGGAGAATCTATCTTCATGCTTGCAAGGAGCAAGATGAGCTCAGGGACTACTGGCACAATCTGTGGTGTCTCTTGTTATTTTCTGACCATCTGATCTAGAGTTTGCATGGTCTGTCTTTCTGGGGGGATCCTGGACACCTGATTCAAAATCAGCAAAGCCCAGCAGCACAGGAGGACATGACACAGGCAGCCTGGCAGTGGGGAGAAGAACATGTTCCTTGGGTTGTGCTGTGGGAGAGCAAAAATATGGAAGTGCTGGATGTGCTTCAGACACCAATTCTAGTGATGCATTTACACTGGCAAGGGTCAATATATTCTTAATACTGAAAAGTGTTATTGCTGTCTTCCCACATATTTTCTTGGGATTATTCAATACCATGAAAAAAAAAAAAAATCAGGCCATCAAAGCCACCATCCACCACAGGCATGTCTCTTGGCTTTAATCCTAGGCACTGCAAATGCCCATGGGTGGAGCTACTCCTAAACCATCCCCAAAGGAGCTGACACCATGGTCACCAGCATGGTGAGGCAAAGACAGAGTGCATCTAAACAAGCCTTTCCCAGCGCCACTAACCAAATAAGGCCTTTTTTCCCAAACAAACCATCTGTAAGAGCTTTTAAAAGCCACAAGATCTCTTACTGAAAATACTTAGGTAACTGTGCTCTTTTAAGACATCTTCTAGAGCAAAACTGTACACAGAGCTACCCACTCGAGCAAGCTAGCAAGATCGATTCAGAGAAACCCACTGATAAAAGGAAGATGCCAAACCAAAATACCCCCCTCTCCTATGCCTCTCCTGGTCTAGTACACCTTGCTGTTTCCACCCCTACAGTCTGTACCTCATCTAAGGACAGGGCCCATGTGAGCGAGGTAGATTTGGAGACAGTTGACAGAGGATTTGTACCTGATCAGAAGATAAGGGACAATGACAAAAATTCTTCCTGAGCTGCTTCACCATCAAGAATACCTTGACACCTGCCCATCTTCCCTTTCTCCCTCTCCACTCAGATATATGACAACTTTCTTACTTTGAAAGTTCAATGAGCAGAGAACCAGAGGGAAAATACTGAGCTGAGCATGGCTATGACTGACTCAGCTGCATTTTTCATAGAGAACCAGGGTCACTTAGCAAAGAGAAACCAACAGTCAGGGCATGAATGCCAGAGA